GGGGGGGGGGGATATTCCCCGCGTTATGATTGGACTCGCGGCGGTGGCGCGTGCAAGGGGCCGGGCCCAAATAATGGGAGCAGGGCAAGAGGTGACTGTGGGTTACTGACGGTCACACACGCACACACACACACACACACACACACACACACACACACACACTGTGATTACACAAATTTAAAACAAATCTAAGATCTAGAAGATGATATGAACATTAGAAATGTGCATTGAATGTTCAGGACGTTTGATTATTGGATAAGGAGAGTTGAAATTCCACAGTCAGAGGTACGTCAAAGGGAACTGAAACTATGTACTGAGCAGCAATGAAATAGAACACTAATCTAAAAACTATGCATAAGCAGCAAATAAATCTCAAACTAAACAAGGATCAAAACATACAGGTGCTCATCACCTACTCCACTGTTTGGTGGAGTGATGGAGAAGCTTATCTGCTGGACTTTTTAGGTGAGGGAAGCTGATGTTCAGCTCCCTCTTCAGGTCCTAGGGGGCTGATGTTGCTCAGTCGACTTTTACATTTTTACAGACCAAAGAAAGCACTGAGCTGTGAAAGTGTGTCTAGCTCAGGGTGATGTATTACAGACAGACAGGTTCACTGACACAGTAGCATTGGAAAAATGAAACAGTGAAGTGAGGTCAGCTGCCCACAGTCTCCTACCTCTCATTTAATAACAATGTCATTCGCTCCCACCGCTCAATCGTCTGATCACTAGTTGGAGAAAATGGTTGATTCATCATTTTATTAAGCAGTCACAAAACTCAAACATGTTTCTCTGCAGTCTGCAGGAATCATAAAACAGTTTTTCCCATGAGGCCATTGCGTTTAAGCATGATTGAATATACAGTATTTAACATTTACATATGTATCAAACCCTTCTCCTAATGATCTGCCATCTTTAATGCAGTTTCTTTCATGGATTGCTAAATCAGTTCTCATCTTTGGTGCTCATTGTAAAGGCTTGCTGATGTGAAATGTTGAAGCCCAATCATTTATTCTTCTTTATTCTCATAGATATATTTCCATGTTCATGTTCTTATCCTTCTCTATTATATTTTAAAATGGGGTCTCTAGGAAACTTAAGGCGTGGCAGTGTATTTGATGGCTTCCAGCCAGGCCTTCGGCAGAAACTTTGAGGCTGCTTTATCTAAATTCTTATCAAATATTTGAATGCATGTTGTTGATCTTGATTCTGATGAGAGCACTGGACGTGCTATTATGATATTCTTCTACAACTAATTGTCAAATAACTTGATTCTAAACCTAAATTGTTTAATCAATACAGCAGTTTTTAACTAGTTTTCCTGCTGTATCATTGTTGCACTATTTTTATCACTGCAGGATCAACATCTGACATTTAGCTTGGATGCATTTATATTTATTTGAAAGCTGATTCATGGTAATTTTCCCTTTTTACATAAAGAATAACAATTCAATGTCTACCTCTAGTCAAGCTTCAAGACATTCTGATTTACTTTCTCTATCCCCTTTCTTTATTTTGGAACCTATTTATTGTTTTTGAAAAGTTGTTTTGAAAGTTATGCTATGTGTGTGTGCACATCAGTAATACTTAAACTTTAAAATAAACGTCAAAATTTGAATTAATGATGTTATTCGCAGATTAATGACGCCGTATCCACAAATGTGTGCTTTTCGGTCAGGCACCGCCTAGACAGCCGCAGCCGGCTGGAGGGGTCCTTTTTCCACCGGGCTGTGGAGGATTAGCTGCCAACATGCCGACTGTCGGAGTGAAAAGGGATCTTCTCTTCAAAGCTTTGGGCAAAACATACAGTCAGTGATATTTTCTACATTTACAAACTGTGGACAAACTGTCTGCCTGTTGGTTGAATGTCCACGTGGCTCTTAGAGACACCGGAAGTCAAGAGGAATGTCTTGAAGTCATTGGCTGGTAGCTAGCACCGCGGCGGCTAACTCAAACTAGCTCGATCTGGATTTACTGTGTCTGCACTGAATGAGAGAGAAGAGTGAAATGGAAATTCAGCCCCAGTTGTTCGTTTAGATATTCTGTAAATGTGTGAGGAGGATGAAATAGTGACCGTAGACTCTGTACAGACCGGAGTGACGTGTGTGAATCATAATAACAACGTGATTGCATCATTTCCTTTGCTCCCGTCATTTAAACGTGAGCTGAGCAGCTTCAGGAAAATCAAAGTCACTCTGAGTGTTTAACTTTATCCACCTGTTTTTATTAATGTGTGTGTTTTATTTGTTTCAGCCGATGAGGAGTTTGATGAGCTGTGCTTTGAGTTTGGACTGGAGCTGGATGAAATTGTGAGTAAACAGACTTTAAATTGTTTCCTGATACAAATAAGTGAAAACTGTAAAACCTTTCTCATGGTGTATGTTTTATTTTTCAGTGTGAAACTATTTTATTTAATGATTAAGATTCTGAAGACAATACAAACATGATTTCATTATCACATAATCTTCAAGAAAATACATTTTAATGATGTAGCCTCAAGTTACTCAGCCATGAATTAAATATTCACACAGTTGTGTTCACAGGTAATATTGCATCCTGACCCTCACACTTATCACACTCACAAACACGCATGGACACACACACATTTAAAAGAAGGTTTCCTTACAGTTTATGAATGCTGGATGAATTTGCAGTTCCTCCTATGCTACAGAGTTTTTACATTGTGCTTCAAAAATCATGTGAATATGTTTTTCATTGTTGCTGTCGTGTCTTTGTTTGACATTTCAGACCTCAGAGAAGGAGATATTAACCCGAGAGCAGGGTGACTCCAAGGCATCTGGAGCTTCTGACATCATCCTGTACAAGATCGATGTGCCAGCTAACCGCTATGACCTTCTGTGTCTGGAGGGGCTGGTCCGTGGTCTGCAGGTCTTCAAGAACAAGTCAGTAGATTTCTCTTTCTTATTTTGGGTTATTCCTCCTTATATGGACACAACTCCTTCTGTTTGAGTGGCAGGGTGGTTGTGGAGTGCACACCAAGACTAGTTGGTATTATTATGTGCTAAAATAATTCAGGAGCATTAGAACATTAGTCTTTTATAAATTAAGAAAGATAGAGATTTTGAATTTAGGAGTATCGTTTGATTGCCCGAAAACTTTCTTGTGGTTGAAGACTTATTTTGACTGTGTTGCTTGTAAATTTATTTTCCATTGTGTTTGTGTGGTGCATTGTAGAGTCACTGTTTAAAGATTGATTTTGTGTCACAGGTTGGAGGCACCTCGCTACAGACGTGTCAGCCCAGTCAGCGGAGAGCGTCAGAAGCTGATCATCACTAAAGAGGTGGGTGGAATCATTCAAAATGTTTATTAGCAGAGTAGTTTGTGGCCTAAAGTTGTTTACCAATCAACTACATTAGTGTTTTACTATGGTAATGAATTAGTTTGTTCTTGTTTTTCTGTGCAGACAACAGAAGTGAGACCCCATGCTGTGGCAGCAGTGTTGAGGAACATCACCTTCACTCAGGAACGCTACGACAGCTTCATTGAGCTGCAGGATAAACTCCATCAGAACATCTGCAGGTCAGACCTCATGAAACACTTAGGATTCATCCACATTAAGTTTATGTTGACAAGAAATCTCTGTTGCTATGTTTACACCTGGCATCCACATGACTGGAGTTTTCAAGCAACTAAAAACTGTGAACTCTGGAAATACTATGGATCCAGTTTTAGGTTGAAAGCTCAAAACAATTACACAGCTGATTGGTGCAGAATGAAAAGATGTCTCTGTTGAATGAAACAGCTTCATACTGTAGAGTCCTGTCTTAAATACTAGCTACTTTACTACTATACTAATACCTACTTTTGTTCTTTGCCATATCAGAAACATCACTCGACAGCTCCGCAGCAAAATTGACATTCGTTATTTTCTATAAACATAGTTTGCTCAGTGACCCTGTTAAACGTTGACCCTTGTAAGAATAAGTATCGCCTTTCCATTTTGCCTTATTATATAGTAAAATACTAATATAATTAACCAAAATGATTCACCTCTGACAACTGTCGACTGTCAGAGGCTGATATCGGTCATGTGTCTGTGCTGTAAAACTCCATTACCACCCAAAACTATTAAAGGGCTATTCATATGCTTTTCCTTTTCAAAATATGCAGTAAACATATGTCAGACAGTTTGTCACAGGTTTCTTTTTTACACATTTCTCACTATAGCACTACACTGATATCACAATGTACAGAAAAGTCAATGTATTCAGACAATAATTCAATCCATAATGTTTTGTAAAGGAAGAGGAGCCTGGTGGCGATTGGGACTCATGACCTGGACACCATCTCTGGTCCTTTCACATACACAGCCAAAGCCCCTGGAGACATCTGCTTCAAACCTCTCAACCAGACCAAAGAGTTCACGGCCACTCAGCTCATGAGCCTCTACAAGGTACACAGCTATTTCACTGGACATTAGTCACATGAGCATCTTTTCTTTCTTTTTGTAGCTAACGCTGTGTTGTTCTCCTGGTGCATGCAGACAGACAGCCACTTGAGACATTACCTTCACATTATTGAAGACAAGCCTGCGTACCCTGTGATCTACGACAGCAACGGCATCGTCCTTTCCATGCCTCCCATCATCAATGGTGAGTGTTCTCACGTTCTCTGCTCCTGTTACCACAATGTATTACACACAGTGTGCTTGAATTACAACATTCAATATCTAGGTCAACAAATTACTGCATGTTTGTGACACAGAGTTAAATGAATGCAACAGAAAATCACAACTATATAAAGAGCCAACGTTTGAGAAAGTGATAAAATAAAGATAATCAAATGTTTTCTGTCATTGCTCTTTCAGGGGAACATTCAAAAATCAGCATAAAGACAAAGAACGTCTTCATCGAGTGCACAGCCACAGATGTGACCAAGGTAAACTGAGGGGAGAACCAAAACAGAAAAAAAACTTTTATCAATGATGTGACAAGAACCTGACTTTAATCTGACCTTTCTCCAGGCAAAGATTGTCTTGGACATGATGGTGACCATGTTCAGCGAGTATTGTTCACAGCCTTTCACGTAAGTCCTCCTCTGTCTCAAATACAAACTTCTTTGACATCTGGGATTTATTGTCTGTACTTTAAAGGTGCAAGATGACTAAATTCTTACTATAAAACTTGCTGAGGGTAGAAAATGATAATGTCCTGGGGTTTGAAAAGTCAAAGCTTTTACACTTGAGGCCTCTCTCTACACAGTGATGTCATACAACAGTTTCTTTTGGATCCTCCTGATTCAGAGATTTGCTCATTTACTTTTCAACTTTGTATTTGCTTTATCTTGTTGAACACGACACTAATTTATTATTTTACTCTTTTTTAAATGTTTATCTCTCCTGCTCTTTCAGGGTAGAGGAGGCTGAGGTGGTCTACCCAGATGGCAAGACCTGCATATACCCAGTACTGTATTCACTCTGATCACATTATTGTATCCTGTCTTTTTAAAACATTGACATGAAATACTTCTTTCTTTTTCTGACGCTCTGACGCTGTTTCCTGGTTGAACTTTAGGAGCTGGCGTACAGGAAGGAGAAGTTGTCCAGCGAGTTCATCAACTGCAAAGTTGGCATCAAGTGAGTTATGTGGATGTACTCAGTGAAATACTTAAGATGCTAGATATAGTGTGGAAAGTACCTGCTGGTAGATGCTTAAGATGCTTTTTGTTGTGTTAACAGGCGTTGCCTCACGCAACCCGGCACAGTTGCTTTTACCTTTGTAAAGTAGATAAGGCTCAGTTTTAAAAATGCCTCTGCAGTACCAACACTAAACACAACTTAAACAATATCCACAGAGTTCAGTCAACAGTGAGCCAGTGTTAATAAAAATGGTCACACAATGATTCCCATTAATCACATAGACTGTCACCTCTTTGGTGGCTCATTAAAACATTCATAAAGATTTTACTGCTCTCTGGCGGCAGATAGAACATCGGTAGATACCATTTTCACTGTGCGGTTGTGACAAGCAAGCTTAGTTTGGAGTTTTCAGTTAAATCTGGGCTCTTGAACTAAAGAGACACAGAACAGTTGGTTTGCTGGAAAGAGTTTACATATTAAACCTGTTGTCCAGATAGTTCACCCAAAAATGAAAGTTCACTCACTCTCCACTATGCCGATAGAGGGGTGGGTGAAGTGTTAGCGTCAACAGAACATTTTTTCAAGGGATTTTGGGTCAACAGCTTTGCAGCTAAATCCAGTACATCAACCACTTCTTCAAACGTTTAAAAAAGATCTACCTGGTTTTTGGCTGCTTGCTGTGAGTGTGTCCTCAGTCACTATGCATCTTACTTATTAAGAATACTGTTCATTTCGTCTCCTGACAGTGAGTCAACTGAGAAAATCGCCCAGCTGCTGACCAAGATGTGCCTTCGCTCTGAGGCTACAGGTGTTGGTGATGAGATAGAGGTCGAGATCCCACCCACACGCTCGGATGTCATCCATGCCTGTGATATCATGGAAGATGCTGCAATCGCCTTCGGTTTCAACAACATCCCCCGCACCACACCACGCACCTACACAGTAGCCAACCAGGTACCTGGGTTTTCTTCTGCATGTTTGCTGTGTGTCTCATGAAATATGTTGTGTGTTCTTACGTGTTTGTTTGTATTGTTCATAGTTCCCACTGAATAAACTGACAGAACTGTTGAGACAAGACCTGGCAGCTGCTGGATTCACTGAAGCCCTCAACTTTGCCCTGGTTAGAAAGAGACACAAATACTCGGACTTGTAAACACTGGATATTTCTTTTCCTTTAAAAATGCCCCATGGAATGTGTAACCTCTCTCTTCCTCTAGTGTTCTCAAGAAGATATAGCAGACAAGCTGAGTAAGAAGATTTCAGAAATCAAGGCTGTGCACATCTCCAACCCCAAGACAGCAGAGTTCCAGGTAAAGAAGAAAACAGCGATTCAGTGAATAAACCTAGACGGCTTGAGAGGGTAGATGAAGTCAAGTGGTATATTTACCCCTAGAGAAATGTCTGAAAGCAGAAAATTGCTAAATCAATAGATTTTTCTGTGCTTAAAAGATAGTTTACCTAAAACTGTTTACTCAGCAAAGCGTTTTAAAAAAAAAAATCCATGCAGCCAAATCTTTTAATTGTTCAGAAATCTTACTTCAGTGGAGGTTCACTTGACATTTGGCTCAGTTAATCAATACATTTCTTTTCAGAAGAATATGTGTCAATATCTAAAATGTTAATTTAGATTTTTCTTCAGACAAGGTTAAAGGTCATTGGCAGAATATTCTCTTTGCTTCTCGTTGGCTCTCTTGTCAGAAAGGATAAATCATTTATTGTTTACGTTGCACTTACAGGAATAATGTGGCATTACGTGCTGTATGCTCAGTGGACACCATAATGTAGTTCTGTGATCTGAAAAGTTAGCATGCTGGTGATGATGATAACAACATTTTACAGAAGTAAAACTAATCTTTAGCCACAGCTCAAACTAACAAAGTAGTTTTCAGTTCAGTGTTCACTTCTAAACAAATATGAGCACACTAACACAGAATCAAAAAAATGAAAAGCTGTCAACAAAAAATGGTTTGATGTCTAAAAATAAGAAAAGTTGGAGTAAGAAAGGTAGAAAATTACGGAGCCAGAGACATTGATCAATTCTGCGCTCAGTAATTGTACTGTTATTTTTCCAGAAGGGGGCACTCTTCTCCTCTCTAACAGAGGATACACATTTTTTTTTACTGAACCTTTGTATTTCTCCACCAGGTGGCGCGCACCACCCTGCTTCCAGGGCTTCTGAAAACCATTTCTGCCAACAGGAAGATGCCCCTTCCCCTCAAACTGTTTGAGATATCTGATGTGGTCATGAAGGATGAAAAGAAAGGTACGTGTTTATTCAACCTGTGTATGTGTGAGAGCGGCTGTGTACAGACTGTGGCTGCAAATTTCCTTGGGGGGGAAAAAAAAGGTGAAGTGGTGGAGGAAGTAATTTTGTCCAACATGTACACTGTGCCTAACACAACCATAAAACACATTTTCAGACCCAGCACTTCATATGGTGGTCTATTATTATTATTGTTGTTGTTGCAGTGCAAAATAATAAATTATCAATTTCTTCAAATTTCCACACATGGAGGCTGAAACTCTCTGATGGAATACTTGGTTTGATGACTCAGTTTTAATATTTCAGTAACTTGAACATGATTCTTATTTCATTATTCAGTATTTTAGACAAAACTTATTACAGACAACTTATTTTTCTACAATTATAAAACAGAAATCATTCACGTTCATATCAGAAGTTGAATGGAACTTGGCAACAAATGTATTTTTTAATAAAATCCCAGTAATGAATTGATGTATCAGGTCAATGGTTTATTCCTGTTTTGAATGTTCCTCACTCTCCCTCCCCCTCATCCTGCCAACCAGATGTTGGAGCGAGAAACAGCCGGCGTTTCTGTGCTGTTTACTACAACAAGAGCCCGGGCTTCGAAGTGATCCACGGCCTGCTAGACCGAACCATGCAGCTGCTGGAGGTGAAGCCTGCCCGCGACGATGGCTACCACATCCAGGCTGCAGACGGTAAGAGACTGGGAGGGAGATGGGGAGGGGGGATGGAAACTAACAATCAGGACTATAGCAATGACCTTTAAGCTCTAGCTTTGGTGGTGAGTATCTTAAGACTGGATTTAATCCCAGTGACAGATTTTAGCCCCTGGGTTATTGAAGATGTTTATGAACAAGCTGGTGAACAAATAAATCTGGGACACACGAGGTTAAAAGGCAGGTTTTTACTTAGATTATGTAAATCCAGTCTATGATGAGCAGCGTTGCTGTGTTTGTTTCCAGGACGTTGTGTTCCCTGTTTAATTGAGGCTGCACTTTCCATTTTTATTCCACATAGTTTGAACCCAAATCATGGGTGGGCAGTTAAGATTGGATCTACACTCAAGACAGAAAAAGAATTTACACACTGTGTAAAACTACAACATGTCCAGATATTCCACTCTGTGTAGAATGGAAAAGAAAATATATAAATATGATAGTGTAGTGGGCTTCATCCTTCCCATCTGTTGGATCTGATATCATCTCTTTCTCTCTGCCTCACAACCCAGACAAATACTGAAAACTAAAACATGCAACACTAACTCATCGTGACTCAATAAACCAGTCACAAGATGCTTTTCTCACTTACCAAAGGGGAAAAGAGTGATTTTAATATTATGAACGGTTAAGGTGGACTCTCCAGAGTTCTTTTTATTTCCAAAATAAAACAACTTTTATATAAGAATATAAATGAGACTATAGGCACACTTCAGGGTTATCAAAATGTGAACCTTCAAGTTAAAAGGGCATAAAGCTGCTGTTTGTCACGTTATGCTCAATTTTAGATGTGGAGACAGACAGAGCCCTCTGTCCACATTCTGTTATTATGTCCTCCTCCACCATTTCCTTGTTTGTTGTCAGAAATGTGTCAGAAGACTTTGAGCTGAAGGTAAATCAGGGTAACTTTGCTCTCTTATCTTCTCACGATGAGGGAAACCTTTGAGATAAATTGTTTTGCTCAAAATCAAAGGTGTCATTGATGGTTTTGAGCCAAGAATACAACTTCCGTGTGTCTTTAATGATGAAATGCGTCTGTGTAGAAGTAAAAGTCATGATGAATGAAATGATGAGGTCAGTCGTGACTCGTGATGCATCAGTACTTAAGTCTGTTAAGACGGCAAATAGCACAACAAGTAATCAACAGAGTAAAACTCAGAGATCTCTGTAAGTGTTTGGTTTATTAAGAAACTCTGAAATATTAGGTGGTGATGGGCAGCCACAGTTCAGATAATTAATAGGAAACACTTAACAGCAAAAAATGTATGTGTTGTACCTCCTCATTGTAATTGTACAACACATAAACATTACATTAATATAAATCAGATCAAACGTTATTGTGATAATTATTGATATTGTTTCACTGCACAGCCCTCTCACAAATCATTTTAGATTCCTCGCTCACTCCTTCCTCTTTCAGTTTTCTCTCTCCGTCCTCTCTACCTCCCCACCCATGTCTTTTTCCTCTTCTCCTACTTGGCTGCACGCTTCAAGGTCACACTGCAGGATGTCTGCTCGGGCTCTGCCGACCTGTTCAGACTGCAAATCAATGGGCTCAAGTGTCAGTGAGTGAGAGCGGGGGAGAGGGTAAAGTCAGACAGAAGAACAGAAGAAGGGATGTGGAGACTAGATAGTCCAAAGAAAATGGAGGGGGAGGGGGAAGGGGGGCAGGTGAGAGACAGAGAGATGACTAGAGGCATAAGCAAGTCTGCGATGTGGGGGAGTGCCGGGGCATCACATCTCCCACTGCAGTGCTGAGCAGCGAGACAGAATGGCACATACAACACCCACCCACGGGTGCTTAGACTGTCCATCTGACAGGCACACACACTTACAAGGGAGCTGAAATGGACATGCTCTAATGCACAATGCACTGGACACACACACACACACACACACTCAGTGAATCTCCTCTCCTCCTTTTCCTCCACACTGTATGCACCATTAGCCTAATCTCCCCCACATATGTCAGCGTGTCCTTAACCCCATTACAAGGTCATGACCCAATCTAAGAGCTCACCTGAGCACACACACACACACACACACACACACACACACACACACACACACACACACACACACACACACTCTCACTCAGGATGTGTCCATATGACTAACTCACCATCACAGACAGGGTGAGTGGCTGAGGGAATACATGTGAGCTGAGTTTCCTCCACTCAGCAGGGGAAAGGATGAAATAACGAGTTAGACGATCAGTAGTGGAGGGAAAAAGCCACTTAAGAGACATATGCCTGTGTTTCACTTAACAACTGTGTCCAATGCAGGCCCCGGGTCCATACATCCTTTGCTAGGTTGTTCTATGAATAATAGAAGACTAATACCAAAATTCAGAGTTTGAGGTTTCGATGTGCTATGTTCATTTAAACCTGCAATAACTGACTTTGCCACTTGGAGGCAGTTAAAAGAAGGTGTGAACAGATGTTGACATGTCTTGTTTTAGGTATATATCTTCTGTATATATGCTAAGTGTATATAGTGGATCCACGATTTAAAGGGTCCTGTCTTGGTCCTTGTCCGGTCCTTCAATCAAGTTTTGTGGAAATCCATTCTGTAGTTTTTGTGTAATCCTGCTGACATCTAACAAGCAAGAAGACAGAAAATGTCTGCACATCAGTTAAAGCTCCCACAAATGTTTTAATTACATCCCAGAGAACTCTCGGGGTTCAGCAGGGAAACCTTCAACTGTGCTGACGTTTACCTTCAAACTAATTAACACACAAACCAAACAAACAGGGAAACAAAACCTCTTTGGTGAAACTTGCTGTAAATGTGATGGGAGCAGCAGTTGATCATTGATATTGACCCCTTTCATCTTCACTTTGTCATTTCATTGTTATTTCAAATAAATTTAATACAGTTGCTGTCAGAGATGAATTTCTTTTAAATCTGTAAACCTGACATTTTAAAGTTGAGTTGAAGCACGAGCAGTCTTGCAGCTTTTACCTGAGTTTAAGTGAATGAAACAGAGAACAGTTCATTATTAACCAAAGTGTGTTGTAAACACACATCATAGTTTAATGACACTAGCGAATCATTAGCAGTGTTTTGGTTCACCTCCAAATGAAGTGGTTTGATTTGGCCGACTGATCTGTCATTCAATGATTAGTCTGTTGATATTTGACTTTTTTTCTTATAGCCAGGAATCACTTAAACAAAAAAACTATTGAAAACATAATAGTCCCATTGCTGTAAGTGCACCATTTATTCTAAACAGGACTAAACTAGAAAAGCACTTGGAGACTACATGTAGTGTTAAATATTCAATATGTGCTATGATATTAAAATGTATGAAAAGTTTCAACTTTTTTTCATAGGTGAATTTTATTGATTGACAAAATGATTGAATATTATAACTTATATTAAAGCGATGCAGGCCAGTAAAACAATAATACATCGATAATGCCACTGTAACCTGAGATCTGATGATATATTTACATTGTGGGCATATATTTGGTGTAGCAGAATCAATAACAGAACTACAGATGATTTTAAGTGTGCATGTTTGTGTATTTGCTTTCAGTGTATTTCCCCTGCATTAGCATGAGGCTAAAACTTTGACCTTGATCTTTGATGGATTAAAACAAAATGAATCATGCAGCTCACGACCCCACTCCCGACCAACTTGCCGGGTTTAATCCGAACTGTATTAAAAATGATGAAGACAGACAGATGCCACGTACTTCTGTGTAGTGTAATATGATGACTATATATATATAAACTAAATCCCGAACAATTAATGGAGATGAAATGGATTGAAATTGAATTTAGAAGTATCTATATGTCGGTATTAAAACCCATCCTAATCATCCTATAAAGCAACTGCCTTTGTGTTTCAGCCTCTTATCATTGAATTCTCTGTACATTTAAAAATGATTAATCAACCAATTACATTAGTTATCTGATGTAACTGTAACCATCTCTGCCTTCCGCTGAAAACTCAGCTGAAAGTTGGAGGAGAGTGGGCGGACACTGGCCTGGCTCAAGTGTAGGATTTTCATTGACTGATTGGTTATTTAAGAGCGCTATTTATAGTGTTGCCATGGCATCCCACTCATGGTACAAGTAGATGACGTGTGAACCAACGCAAGTACATTTCACTGATTTAATACACCGAACAGACACACAACAGAAAACTGAAGAGAATGTGAGAGTTTCCCTGCTTTAGTTGGCTCCTCGCTCTCTTGTGTACACACACACACACACACACATACACAGAGGGAGAGAGAGAGAGAAAGCTCAGTCCATGTGTTTTGTAACCCTTCATCCATAGTGATGAGTGAACATCTAAGCAGTGGGCTCTGGAAGCCATTAGCAAGGCAGCGTGGGAAGAAGCGGTGCACGATGGGAGAAAGCCACGTCCCTGCGTGTGGGGCTGTTGTCATGGCAACCCTTGTATCTTGTTCAGTCTCTCGACAAGTCTGTCTTTCTGTCTGTCTGCGTGTCGGCGTGTTTGGGCCAAGTGAGCGAACGCCTCTCACACCGGTTAAAGTCGTTTCATCTCAGAATGGATGGAGGCTTTTTATTCCATCTGGATTTGAGTGACCTTTGGTCCTGACAGACTCACACACACACACACACA